TTACAATCTAGTTCTACTGCCTCAGTGTACAATATCTAACACCGCTGGGTCCTCCTGTCCACAGGATGGCACTGCTCAGCTTCCCTGTTCCTGATCTGGAGCGCACTCTGAAGGAAGCCAGTCGTGTGCTGCAGCTAACCCTGGAGCCTGAGCTGTACCTGCAGTACTGCAGCGCCCTCAAGGAGCAGGAGGGGTTACTGCAGGATATTCATTCCCGTTTTGCTACCCAAGTGGTGGGCAAGGAGAACTGGGTGACGGAGCAGTTCAAGACCCGTCTCCTCTCCCTCCCAGATCCCCTGCCTACTTCAACCGCTATCCCTGCGCTACTGTCCTCCTCCGCTGCCCAGCAGTGCCCCGAGCGGCGCGATCGGGTTCAGGTGGACAGGGCGGCTGCCCTGCTGTGGGCAGTGGCCAAACTGAGGAGCGAACCCTGGCTGGTCGAAGGAGGTGCCCTGACCGAGCGCACCCAGCAGTCGGAGGTCTTCTCTGCCAGCCGCTTGCCTGGAGAAACCCGAGACGAGATCAAGGTTCGGCAAAGCGTTTTTAGCTTCAGTTCATTTACAGTTTTAGATTGGATACGTTCACAAAATACCTTGTAATAGTAACAAGTCAAAAGTGGGTTTTTGGGGCACCATCTACAGTTCATATACTGTATGCTCTCATAGTAGTCTCTCCCTAGAAAATTCCAAACATACTTTGAGTCCCCCCCAAAATACTTAAAATGCTCTTATTTATGCAAATCGGGCAAAAATGGTGTTAACGTTTGGGAAAGGCTGTTGAGCTTAGATTGCAAAGAGCATATCACAAATATGTGCATTTCACCTCTATAGACACCTTGAAAGGCATACAAAATTAACTAAAGGCGTTCCTAGCATCAGACCTGCTTGGTAGACAGGATAGTCTGGCTATAAGTGAAATGTATTGTCCTCTGAACCTTCATAAAAAAGCCTGTTTAATCTAGAACCTCACTTTCCAAGCTCCTGATTTTCCATTTTCCATCTTCCATGCTGTCGTTCCTCTAGGTGTACCCACAAAGCCTTCATGCTGTACTGTTCCACGCGGGAGCTGTCTTCCCCGTGAATATCCTGTCCCGCTCGGTAGAGGGGGGCTCCCTCTCTCCCCTGCCTCTCCCAGAAATCCACAGGCAGGTGTCTGAGGTGCTCCGCCATGCAGATCTGGACAGGAGCGCACAGGTTCCCATCTGCAGCTTCTCTGGCCTGCAGCGGCGGGTGTGGTACGCCCTGAGGCGCACCCTGCTGGAGCAAGGCGGGAGTGCGGTGGCGCAGGTGATGGAGGTCCTGGAGAGTGCGGTGGTCGCTCTGGTGCTGGAGGACGGCCACCCTCCACCCGATCCAGCAGATGCGCTGAACGCTTTGAAGCTGGGGAAGGGCAGCGAGGGTGGGCACTACTTCAGATATTATGACAAGGTATGGCCAGGAGGAAACAAATTAAATAATAAGAGCACCTTAAAATAATGTTGTTTTTTTAGTGAACACAGTTAGTTCTCAGAGCTCTAAAGTTGTTCGTGATCAGATCAACATCATTTGATGGAAAAACATTCTCTGCAAAGGGGCAGTGTCAAAGTCATTTGAGCTGAAATTTTACATAATGTAATTGTAGCGGAGCTAGTTTGGGCACGGTGATGTCATCGCCCTCCCTGCGGGTTGCAGGGACCTCAGCCGGCTCACATGAACCATTTCAAGTTTTTTTTATATAGAAACTATTATATACATAGACTTCATAGTCCAGAATAAGACATTTTAAAGGCATGTGTTTTATAACTCTCCTTTTCCAATGAAACTTTCTTCGTCTCCTCTGGTCCTAGGTGGTCAACATGGTGGTCTTTAAGGATGGCACAGCAGGCATGGTGTTTGAGCACAGTGCTGTGGATGGCATGGTGGCAGGAATAGTGGCAGAGGGTGTGTGGCACCTTTCTGAAGCACTTAAATTAGATGGACTAGACCTGCAGTCAGGGACACCTGAGACCCCTCCAGTGAAGCCCCTGATTTTCTCCCTACGAGATGAACACCATCCAGATATCCCATCATCACCAGAACCTGTCCACAAGATCGTCACCTTTGAGATCTCCTCCTATCCAGATGTGTTCTCGACCTTGCGGGGGCAAAGAGGAGTATATGACGCTTGGGTCAACTTCTCCCTGCAGCTGGCACTTAAGCAGACCTGTGGAGAGGATGCTTTTCTCTTGGTCACGCCAACCCATATGCGCCACTACAAGCATGGCCGATGTGACCCCACATACACCATGACCAAGCAATCTAGGGAGCTGGTGAGGGCTTTGCTTTCCAGTGTCCAGTACAGTCCTGAAGAGCTCTATAGCCTTTTTCACCAGGCTTTCAAATTGCACAAAGAGCTCATCAAGGCCACCAAGAGTGGCCAAGGCATTGGTCCACATCTGTCCATCCTCCGCAACTCTCTTCCTCAGGGCAGCCGACTCAAGCAGTTCCTCGAACCCTTTGGCTGTCCTTCAGTCTACCTCACTGGTAAAGACCTTGTGGTTGGGGTGGAATGCGGGGTGGGCAATGTCTATGCTACAGATCAGCTTGCAGTCTCATACATGGGAAGGAGAGATCGGGTTCGAATGGTGCTTTCAGGCAAAGGGACCTTCGTTGAATGTCTGGAAAGCCTTCAGAAGAACCTGAACGGAGCACTTATGCTGGTGAAGGGTCTGGCTCTGAGATATGCCATCACGGAGCAGATGGGTGCTGTTGAAAGCCTGCTGGGGTCCTTCCAGAAGATGGGAAGAGTAGACTCTTCTGAAGATAAGAAAAAAGGGGGCGATATAAATCAGAATTTTAACCTTCCAGGCCAGAGTCTGATTGAAGAAGTATATCCAAGTGGGACAACTCCAAAATTAGTTCAAAATGGTACCCTGATCATTCATGGAGGAGCGGGTGAGGAGATGATGTTGAAGCAGGAGGTGGTGGAGGTCATTGAGTTTTCCTTGAGAGCCGCTGCCTCGCTTGGGGCTCAGGTGCTCTCTTCTGGGGGGAGCAGTCTTGATGCTGTGGAGAAATGTGTTGCAGCCCTTGAAGACTGCTTCCTGTTCAATGCTGGCAAGGGCTCTGTATACAACCAGGATGGTGAACAGGAAATGGAAGCAACCATCATTGAGGGCTGTGGAAAGCGCTCAGGATCTGTGGCTTGTCTGCGGACCATTAAAAACCCAGTAAAAGTTGCCCGTCTGGTTATGGAAAAATCCCCCCATGCCCTGCTTTCTGGTGGAGGGGTTGAATCCTTTTTGGAAACTCTGAAAGAGAAGGCTGTGGATTTGGATTATTTCCATACTGACTTGCGCTGGATGGAGCTCCAAGCAAAACGGAGTGGCCTCACCACAAGACCTAGCCACCCCCAGACTGTTGGGGCTATAGCCCTTGATCGCTGGGGGAAACTGGCAGCTGCTACCTCTACTGGTGGACTTGTGGGCAAGTGGAAGGGACGGATCGGGGACACGGCTGTGGTGGGTGCAGGGATTTATGCAGGTGAGAACGTGGCTGTGACCTGCTCAGGAGATGGTGACGTTTTTTTGAGAAATACGGTAGCCAGCAAAGTGGCCCACATGTACAACCTAAAAGGATACAGTTTGAGAGAGGCCTGCAAAGAGGTCCTCAGGGAGAGTTTGGAAGGCTCTTGCGGAGGCATCATTGCTGTCAGTTCCAAGGGGGAAGCCGTGGTTGAAACCAATGCTGCAGTAATGTTTGTAGGATCGGTCAAAGGCGATGTCACACGTGCAGAAGTGCTTAGACCAAAGAAGACTTATTTAAATGTAATCTGGGAATCGGAGGATCTGGTGGCCTACCTTCATCCTAATCCCTGGACTCCTGGCACCACTATCCTGACCTCAAAGAGCCCAAGTTGGCAATCCAGTATCTTTCATCTGCCTCTGCCAGAGTACACAGCACTGATGCTGGGGGCTCGAGCTGTGGCTGGTTTGCTGTGCCAGCAGATGCCGGTTCACCGGTGTGCTCTGATGGCGGAGGCTCAGGCGGATCAACCAGCCCATGTCAAGTTGCTCCCACTGCATGGGTTAGAACCAGAGTGGAAGCCACATCTTCATGAAGAGAAGGAGTTCCATCCCCAGTATCGAGGCTACTGCACTTCCAAGAATGGCCCACGAGCTACAGATGCAGACCTAGAGGAGGTCCAGGCGAGGATCCAGGCTAAGCTGAGGTCACCCATTCCTACCCCCAGCTATCACTTCTTTGGCGATTCCGCAGATGATAATCTGTTCTCGCGCATTGTGCAAGGTGTAGAGAAGAAGCAATGGAGAGTGTGGGAGGATGATGCCCACGTGGCCTTTCTTACCCCTTTCCCCAACTCGCCTGGTTTTACAGTGCTGGCACCTCGACGTCATCTTCCTAGTGACCTCTTCAGCCTGGATGAAGAGGACTATATTGAGCTGGCACTTGCTGCTCGTACGGTGGCCCTGCTGCTGGAGGAGGGCCTTGGAGCCCAGAGTTGTGCTTTGATCTTCGAGGGGTTAGAGATTGACTATGCCCATGCCAAGCTTGTACCTCTCATCATGCCCTCTCAAGGTCCTGAGGCTCCCGAGCCACATTTCTGCCCCATCTACACAGGCCATGTATCTTCTGTGGATGGGCCACCTGCCAACCCCCAGGACTTGAAGGACCTCCAGGCCAAGATTACCCAAAGCAGGCCTCCTCGTTCATGGGAGAACCCCCGAGAGCATGCCATTTCAGCAATCAAAAGCCAGTGGTACCGCAACCTTTTCCAAATACAGAACACCCTCTACCATGCAACTGTGGAGTTCTTCCACAACACCTGCAGGTATGCATATGCTTTGACTCCCATTACAACAGACACAATCTCCTCTCCCATGGGCCTGGGATCCGATTCAGAGCCAGTACGTGTGAACTTGCTTGGACAAGATATCTATCTGGCAGATTCCATGCAGTTTGTTCTGGAATACTTTCTCCGCTTTCAGGAAGGTTTGCCAGGAACCTATTATGTGTCCCCCAGTTTCCGGGGAGAAGATCCTGATGCTACTCACCTGAACCAGTTTTACCATGTGGAGTGTGAACTGCTGGGGGACATGGAGAAAGCCATCGGAGTAGCAGAAGCATACGTGGCGTACCTGACTCGCTCCATGCTCCGAAGGCATGCGGACCTCATTCTCAAGACTGCTGGGACCCTATCCCATGCCGAGAGCCTCCTTGAGAAGCTTAGCGGGCTGAAAGGCTTTCCCAGAGTGACACTGGACCAAGCCCTCACCATGATGCCATCGGAAGAATGCCTGGAGTGGGTGGTAGAGGGCCAGCCCCAGTTCGGCAGGAAGCTGACCCGTAAAGGGGAGCGGGTACTGATCGAGAAGTTTGGCGGTGCCGTGTGGCTGACCGAGATGGATCACCTTGGCGTCCCCTTCTATCAAGCCTACGTTGATGGCACCAATAAGCAGAAGGCCAAAGCGGCTGACCTGCTCCTGGGCTTAGGGGAGACTCTGGGGCTTGGTGAACGGCACTCCACTGCCGAGAAGGTACAGGAAGCTCTAA